TAATTCATGAGATCGTGATGGAGGAGCGGCCAGAAGTGAAGCCAAAATTCTTTGGGGAATGAATCTAGACCTGGTGTTTTTTCATCCTCCATTGTCGTCAGCGCTTCCAAAATCTCTTGGGATGTTATTAGGGCCTCAAGTGCCTCTTTTTGTTGTTGGGACAGGAGAGACGACAAGTGTTGTAGCGGCTTACCTCTTGCGTTCTCCAGTGTCTCCCCTTGATAGTATTGTGTTGCGTAGTCCACGATTCCATAGGGATTGGTGGCGTCTGGCATTCGTGGATCGAAGGGATGGTGTAATGTCGGTACCAAGTTTTGTTTGACCCTGTTTTTGGCTTTTTCAAAGAATGTCTTGGCCATGGTACTGTCCGTATTTGCCTTTTTATTATGGCTTGTATTCTCCAAGCTTCAGAGCGTCTGTCTAAATAAGCTTGAAGGTGATCCCTCGCCTCTTAGAGTTGGGTGAATATAGAAAATTTGAAATCTCCCGTGATTATCAATGGGATCTCCGTCGGCAGGATCTGGTACAAGATCTGTAGGAAGTTCACTCTTTCATTCACGTCATTCGGCTCATAGACGCTCACTATACATACCGTTTCCTCCCCTAGAGTTGCTGTCAAATATACCCATCGCCCTTCAAGTCGGTCATAGTCGAAGCGGAGTGGCTTCAGCCTCGATGATGGTGGGAGCCAAATGGCTACTCCAGCTAATGCTCTGGCTGTGGCTGGCGCGGAGTAAGCTGTGTGTGGCCAAATCTGTTGTCTTTTGACCTCATGGTTAGGAGTATGTGCCAGTTGAGTTTCTTGCACGCATACCGCGTCGGGCCATGATGTGGAGTCATGGTCTCTGATTTCATTCCATATGGCGCGTTTTTGTTGGTTGGCTGACAACATGCCATTCACATTCAATGATCGGATGTGAAGGTCCACTTCTGCTAACTTCTTGGCCCAAGGGGGGGGGGTGCGAATGGGCGGCAGTACCACCGGCAGTGGGGGCWYRGSGRGMGGGTCGAACGGGGGGGGTGGGAGGCTGATCCTATAGAGGTGGCGGGGTGTGTAGGTGCTCCCTTGGTTTGGTCATGCAAGTCATTGGTGAATGGTGATTTTCCATATGGAACAGTTATTGCGGCTTGTGTAACTATTGTGAGCGTAGTTACCCGTCTACACCTTTGTGACAAAGGGTGTATCATCCCATGTATTTGTTGCTTCCAAGAGGGAATTTTCCAACAGCGCCTGCATGAATGTCAAAATCTGGGGTATGCGCCAAGCAAAGTTGGATTTGATCCTGGTGGAAGAGAGACCCGCCAGCTGGGTGTGTGAGAACCAGATCAATGTTATATCCTCCTTTGCTGATGTCTGCCTTGTCTGTTGATAATCGAAAATAATGATTGTAAGGACAATCCCTGGCGGGAAGGGGTGGTCAGTGTGGATTGCTATCCCTTTGGCTTCCTTGTCACAGTTTTCTGAAATCCGTAGTTTGGCCAGCCGAACAGCTTCCGGTTTCCCATATGCGCCTCGCCAGCCTTCTAGTGTCGCTCCCACATAATTACTGCTGTGTTTGTGGGACCGAAGGCTGAAATCTGCCAGGTACCCTTTGATCCTCAGTCCCACCTGCCATTGCTGATCTTGCGGATCCCTTCTCATTGGTAGGATCAGAAGACCCAGAAGTGGCTCGTAATTGTGCGCTGTCTGCAGTGAGGTAGTTGGTCGAATAAATAAGATCCCTTAGCCTACCCCTCGTTGCCAGTTTGGTGCTCAACACTGAGTCTTCCGCCTGGGAGGTTGTGGTATCCCGTAATATTTGGGTCTGTGGGAACTGTAGGTCCTGAAAGGCGATAGATTAATTGTCTGTTTCTGAGTCTTCCATAGTAGCGGAGTGTTCTTGTGACTGTGAATCATCAGTAGTGGCTGAATCAGATTGCTGGTCTGACTCGGTCCGCAGGTCTATCGTTGCATTAGCCAGAGCCCGGCCCCGGCTATCGCTGTCGCTTTGTGATGATTGGACCAGGCGTATGTACAGGACCCATTTGAGTAAGTGCGCTGGGAGGTTATCTTCCCACGGAGCAGCCAGCGCATTCTGATTGTTGTCCGAGTGCAGCACGGCTGCTATCTCTTCGACTAGGACCGGGGGCCAGTGCTGATCATCGTAGATAAATTTATGGGCAGCGCTGTTTGTAACAGGGATGATAAGGCTGTGCTCTGTTGGGATTGAGTGTGATGCTGCCTTTACCTTGTGGATTATCACTTTGATGGATCTGATGATCACTTTGCCCACCTTGTTCCAGTCCACTTCTCCTGGGGAAGCATGACTGTTAACCACCTGTCTGACCTGTTGAGTTCTAAGAATGTACCTCCTGATCTTCTCCCAGTGGAGCGGGGGGATTCAATCATGGAGTGAGACTGACTCAGGGGAGAGTAGTTCTAACTTACCTGGGGCTGGTCAGGTCAATGATGATAGTATCATGATACTTCTTTTTTTTTTTTTTTTTTTTTTTCCCTTCCTTTTTTTTTTTTTTTTTTTTTTTAAATCTTTTTTTTTTTTTTTTTTTTTTTTTTTTTTTTTTTTTTTTTTTTTTGAAATAGCATGTTTCCATTATAATTGCAAAAGGAACTTTTTTTTTTTTTTTTTGAAGCTGCCTTCTCCTCATCGGGGTCGCCCTTTTTTAAAAAAGAAAAAAGAAATGAAAAGGCAGCACATGCGGCGTTCATGCTAAGAGGTCACCCTACAGCTGCAGTAGACAATCAGGGGCTACGAAGGGTCACAGGTGTGCAAGGTCCAAGCCACGGCGATTGTTGCCCAATGCTGTGAGGATGCCTCAGTTTTTTTTTTTTTTTTCTGAGGTCCTCAGTTGAGTTCCGACTTTGCCATCACATCGGTTTGGCTGCAAAGGTGTCACCTGTTAAAAAAATTACTGAGGCGTCCACACAACCACCATTGGTCTGAAAAAAAAAAAAAGGCGGAAGCGGCATGTTTTGAAACCCTAAAGTGTAATGACCCGTCAAAACACAGACTGAGAACACTGCTGATTTCTGAAGTTCTGCCGATGAAATGGATGCCTTGGTGAGATTCCCGCATTCTGCTGTGTTTTCTAAGTATGTCTGTGTGTGCGTGCTTGTGACCTGCATGCCTGACTGAGTGCTTGTCGGTATGAGTGTGTGTGTGACCCGCAAGGGTACTTGCTTGTTTGGTAGGTCCGTAGGGCCGGTACTTACCTGTGGCCGTGGCATTGAGGGTTGTAGCAGGGAAAWACACTCAAGCGGCGAAGCTAGCGGCCCCRCGGCCCTTGGGGTAGCGGAAAAACACTCAAGTAGGCCGGTAGGCCGGTACTGCACCCCACTGCAGTTGGCGTGAGGGGGTACTGGAGGCCGAGCAGAAAAAGACAAAGTTGGCATTTTTAGAGTCCAGTAGCGGTAGGGTAGGTCTAGGCCGGTACCAGTCCAACCAGTCTGAGTCTAGAGCCTGTACGGGTAATATCAGGGTCTGCAATGATGTTTCCCTCCGAAACGGAGGAGGTACCGGTTGCTTGGAGAGGCCGAGCGGCCTGGAAGTCACCGCCCAGGAGGCAAGTA